ATAGGTGAAATCGACGTGTTCATAAAAGTTACAGGCCCTGCTGGGTGAGCTGTTTTCAATGGTGTCAAGAAATGCATCGATTTCGTTTTCTTCCTCTTGGGGCCAGGGGATGTTGCAACATCATCCTCAGACCTGCAGAATAGCCCGGGAGTGGAGAGATCATGCCATTCCACCTTCCATCCACAGGGCATTTTCAGGTTAAGATTCCAGCATAAACATGGGAGCTTCTTTGCTTCTGAGAAGGGAGGGAACTTTTGAATACATTACACCATGAGCATTCACCGATTCGGTCGATATTTATTGTGCATCTACTATGCATGCGGTGCTTTTAAAGCACTGTGGGTTCAGCAGCAAATAAGACAGACACAGACCTGGACCCTGCCATTGTCCCCCTGAATGTCTAGTGGTAGATGAACAGTATACAGCTCTGACGAGTGTCCCAAGGTTGTCAGGGTCAGGAGAACCCTGTCTGAGGACTTGGAGTGAAGCTGTGACCTGAAGGGCCTGTGGGGGCTGGCCCGAAAAAGGGCAGGGAGGGAGGACAGTGTCAGATGAAAGGAAGCCCCCTCACAAAAGGCCATGAGGTGGAGGAGGCTGGGTGGAGATGGTGGGGGGGGCAGCGAGGGGTGTGTGGGACAGAGGCGGCTGGCAGCCCCTGGGCACGGCAAAGTGCACATTCATCACGGGGAGGTGCCTGCTCTTTATCCTCAGGGCTCAGGACAGGAGGAGAGAGAAGGGATCACATTTGTACTGAGGGCGGGACCACTCTGGTACCTGTGTGGAGAATGAGTGGCCAGCCCAGAAGCAGAAACCCCTGTGAGGGGCTTTGTGAAGTGCAGGTGGGAAGTGCACTCTAGGGGGGGAAGGGTGAGTAGAGCTGGAAACAGGCAAAGATGGTGCTGACATATTGGTGATTCACTGAAAGTGGGGACTGAGAAGGCGGTTAGAATGACACCAGCATCTTGGGGGGTGGTGGTGGCAGTTTTCCTGAGGTTCTACAAGAAGATGAGCAGGTTTGGCTGAAGGATGCAGCTCGGATGTTCAGTTTGGGGCACACTGAATTCAAAGTGCCAGCGAGACAGCCCAGTGGAGAGGCCGCGTAGCAGGAGCCATGTGAGTTTGCAGCGAAAACTAAACCTGGGTTGGTGAGAAGGTAAGTCTTAGAGGCACCCCTTTATCAGATGGAGCCCCATGGGGGAATGGTGCTCTGGCCAGCACAGCATCCTGAAGTGGGGGCTGCACCCCAAACTCCCACGACTAGATTCATCTTTTTCTCTTTCTGTGACCTTCAGCAATTCACCCAACCTGTGTTCCACGTAAAACGGAGATAGTTATGTCTGCTTCACACTACCCAGTAGTTCACGGGGGAGGGTCTATTAAACCAAAAATAAAACACGTGGGGCTCTTTGGAAATGAGAACTGTGTTAAAACAAGGAGTTATTATAGTTCTGCGCAAGCCACTGAAAAGCAGAAATACAGCCCAAGGCTCGGTATTGATCTTGGTCCCGAGTGCTTCCCGCAGCTGAATAAATCTGGCATTTGTCCCCGCAAGTGCTGGCTGAGTTCACAGCAGGTCTCCAGCTCCCAGCCTCCTTGCCCCTGTTCCAAGGTTACATCCTCTCTCTGCTCTGGCCAGACCCGGCTCCCTCACACCTGCCCAAGGTGCTCTGGCTGCTCTTTCTACCCCGTAGGTGGTTGCAGGGAAGATGCCCCTCTTGAGGTTGGAGCTTGGCCAAGAGCAGGTGCCCTCTGATTAAACTGGGGACAGGTGGTGTCAAAACAGCACAACTTGGATCTGTAGAATGAGGGACTTGAGAGCCGTGACAGGAAACTTCTCCAGACGGTTTTCAAACTTCGGGATGCATTAGCATTATGGAGCTTGCTTCATTTGTTCATTCAGTCACTGGGTAAATACTTATTGAGTGCCCATTGAATGCCAGGCTCTGAGATAAGCCTGGGGCTACAACAGTAAAAAAGACAATATGTTTGTCTTCCTGGAATTCATATTCAAACTGGGGAACAGAGAGACAAAAGAACAAAGTACTCTTAAGGGAACAGCCAGGGGCCAGCATCTAGCACAGATGCGCTGGAATGTGGAGGGCCCACCTGAGATGGGAGGGGGAGGGAAGGCTTCAGTGAGGTGGTGTGGTTGGAGCTGAGATCTGGTGGCGAAGAAGGAGCTAAACTGTGAAGAGCAGGGAGAGGGCCATTCCGGGCAGAGGCCCAGCCGGAGGGAGGCACTGAGGTGAGAACATGCTTGGCCTGTGTGCATGACCACGGCCAGGAGTGGCTCCAGTCCAGGGAAGGAAAGGGACGGGAGGGACCAGATGGTGCAGGGCTTTGCCAGGCGTGGGGAGGAGTCTGGATTTATGTTTTAGTGTCACGGGAAACCAGTGAGTGGTTTCATGCAAGTGGGTGGTTTTTGTTTTAAAAAGACTACTCTGACCCCTGAGTGGTTAGTAGGTTGGAGGGGAAAGTAAAGAATCCAGGAAACTCACCCAGAAGCCACCGCAGCCCTCCGGGTGAGAAGTGACCGCGAGTGGCTGGTGGCAGCAGCGGAGGTGGAGTGAAGTGGATGGGCCGCAGCATTTGGAAGTGGGATGGATCAGCTTGCTGACAGACCGGAAGTGAGGGGCGAGGGAAGGGGAGGGATTGGAGATGACTCAGGCTGCTGGCTTTTGCAGCCACATGGATGGAGATGTATTTACTGGAGTAGGGATGACTCAGAGCACAGGTGTCCGGAGGGAAATCTAGACCCCTGTTTTGACCTTGTAAAGTTAGACATGCCCATGGGACCTATGGAGGAGATGTCAAGTATGAGGGTGGATGTACGGCTGGACGTCATCAGCCACTCTGGGCTGGAAATAGACCTAGAGACCCTCAGCAGGGGCCTGGATGCGAGGGCCCAGGCCTGAGCCGGACAAGCTCTGGTATGTGTGTGGGAATGAGCAGTGGGGTGTTGCAGGGGCCTAAGTGCTCTGAGGCCAAGCAGGGGACGACTGAGGGCTTCCCATTGGGGTGGAGACTGGGGGGAGGTCGCTGAAGGTGACGAGTCAGTTCAGTTACTCTGTGAGGATGAAAGGCAGATTGGAACAGGTGGAAGGATGAAATGGAGCTGAGGAAGCTGAAATGACATCTGGGGCCGACTGGAGTTTTGTCATCAAACTGGGCAGAGAAATGGGGAAGTAGCTGCTTCCTTGGGTTTCCATGAAAGTAAAAAACGCTCTCGCCATCATTTCTAAACCGCTGTCCTGCTGTGATACGCCCGGAACATGACACTGAAGTGCCTAAAATATTCCCATGATAAAATAAACCGTGGATGACATGTAGCCCCCACATGTAGCTGTGACTCTGCTCCTTTGTCTGCCTTTCAAGAATGCTTCTAGGAATGTAAATCAGTCAGAGTAATGTTGGGGTAAGCATCTGCTACTCAAAAAATCTTAATCCAAATTCTATACATTAAAATATACACAACCAAATTATTTGCAGTACAACTTACAGCAGACTGCATCATGCGTGTTGGGGCATGTTGGCTGAGAAGTGTGGTTCCAGACCATGGTTGGGTGCCATTCATTCATTCATTCATTCATGAGGTATTTTATGAAGACTTGCTGTGTGTCAGGAGCTCAGGCTGGGCGCCGGGTGTGGCAGTGAACAAGGCAAACGTGGCCCCTATCCTCACAGAGCTCCAGCCAGGTGGGGAGCAGAGATGTGGAATAATAGCAAGGGCAGTGAGCTTACAGCTGGAGAAGCACTGTGTCCTCAAGGAGGGTGTCACCAGGGTCCCGGACTGGTCCACAGGCCCCACAGAAGGTCCTTTGAAGAGATCCACATGAATGAGCTGGGGGACTAATGAGGCCTGTGTTGGGGGCTGGTGTGGACAGTGGCCCAGCAGAAGTGAATGCCCAGTGCCAGAGGGCGCCCACCTCCACAGAGGTCTACACCAAGGCCAGCCTGCCCAGGAAGTCAGGGAGTGAGGAGGGAGTGGCAGGACAGGCAGCAGAGGAAGCAGGCAGGGGCCAGTGTGCAGGGCCTGGGCGCTCCTGCCAGTGGTTTGGTCTTTATCTGAAAGCAATGTGAAGATTGTTAAGTGTGTGCGGAGGAGAGAGGAGTGAGTGCGTCAGATTTGTTCTAAAAGAGCACTCGGGTGTCTAGGGAATGCGGCATGGTCGTACAAGAGGAAGGCAGCAAGTAAGTGTCACCTGTATGCGGACAGGGGGGCTGCATTAATTCCCTTCCATCCCTATTCCACTGGACGTGGTTGAGGATCTGGAACGTGTATGGGGCACAGAGGGTTAGGCTGGCTTCCTGTTCCTGCGTCCTGTCTCTGAAGCCAGGTCTAGTTTTCCCCCAACGCCCTGTCCTCCCTCTAGGAAAACCCAGCAGGCGGATGCTGGGGCCAGTGCAGCAGACAAGGGCTTCTGTGCAGAAGAACACCGAGGCATACCCATAGGGCCAATGTGGGGACGTGAGGATATAGAAGTGACAGGCCAGGAGGTCGGTCTTAAGGGACCGACAGCAGTGGGCATGGTATGGAGCATGGAGTGCAGAGGCGTGGGTGGGTGCGAGGACGACCTGGGGTGGGCAGTGCAGAAATGTACTCGCCTCAGGGGACCCTCCTAAGGCATGCTTATTCAGCAAGCCTGGGGAGTGAGCCAGGAATCCCCATTTTAAGGAGCCCCCTCTTCCCCCCAACTAAGGCGATTCTGACTCCGGTGGTCCTTCGACCGTCCTTTTGAGAAGGCCTCAACGCTAGTCGGCTTCTTGGCCTTATGTCCTCCATCCCCTCAGTTTCTCTCACCAGCGTGGGCCCGAAAGCTTGTTTCAGTCCTGCAGTAAAGACGTGGACGAGCACATTCGCCCCCTCACCGGCCTGTGCTGGACCTGGGGCGGCGGGCACGCGGGTCGGGCGGCACCGCTGCATATGGCCGCCAGGGGTCGCCAGAGGCCTCGGCTCGCGCGCCCGGGCCCCTCCGCCGGCGGACGCCGCGCCCGAGCGAGCCGTAGCGCGAGCGGAGCCAGAGCGCCGCGGGCTCACAAAGCGGCCGGACGCGCGGCGGCGGGTGGCAGGAGCGCGGGGCAGCGAGAGGCCAGTCAGCCTGGTCCGCGACCGTGCCACCGGAGCTCAGGCAACTCGGACGCGGGGACCCGGTCCGGCCCCTAAGGTACGTGCCCGCCGAACCCCGCGCCCCAACTTGGCGTAGTTGGGACCTCCCCGCGACCACCTAGGGGCTGGCAGGGTCCGGGGCCTGGGGCGTCTCCGCGCGCCCCTCACGCCGAAGAGGCCGGGCGGGCGAGGAGAGACCTCGCAGCTGCGGGAACCCTCTGCCGCGCCCCATCCTGCCCGAGCCCGGACTGCTGCTCCGAGCCCCGGGCGCCGTCTGGGGGAGTGCGGCTTGGCTCCGCGGATTGGCGGAGGGGTCCTGAAGCCTCCCGCGTGAGAGTAGCGGGGTCGTGGGCACCCAGAGAAGAGCTGACAGGGGTCTTCTTTAGTTGACAGCAGCCCCTCATTTGTGACGCAGCCTCTTCCTTCGAGACTGAGTGCTTTCCCCGCCGCCATTCAGGAGCGAGGTCCCTGGGTCTCTAGAGCCGCGACAGGCGCCCCAGGTGTGCAAGGGGCGACCCTGCAGCTGGGCCGTGGGGGCGGCGCGCGGCGCCCTGGCCGGCAAGCGGCTAGCGGCCGCCCGCACCCCGCTCACCGAGCCGCGCGCCCCCGCCCCGCAGATGCCGGCGATCGCGGTGCTGGCGGCGGCCGCCGCGGCGTGGTGCGTCCTCCAGGTCGAGAGCCGGCACCTGGAAGCGCTTGCGGGAGGCGCGGGGCCCAACGGCAATTTCCTGGACAACGACCAGTGGCTGAGCACCGTCTCCCAGTACGACCGCGACAAGTACTGGAACCGCTTTCGAGATGTGAGTACCGCCGCGCTGCCCTGCGGGCGGGGTGGGGGGAGCCCGGGTGAGCCGGGGTCTCTGAAGTGGGGGGGGGGGGCGGGGTGGAACTGGTGCAGACCTCCCAGGGCTGCTGGGGTGGGGGGGGGGGGGGTCCCAGGGCCATGGGCTGCGGCTTGCCTGAGAATAACTTTAAAGAGAACTTCTAAGGCTTGATTCTCTGCCTGGTACCTGTGGTCCAGGTGTGTGTAGGACTGGGGTGGTGGTGGTGACAGAACTACACATGATGTGAACGGTGAGCAGCTGCAGAGAGAGTGGCTCCCTGGGCTGCTGAATTCTCCTGACGTTGGTGGTTTACTTTGCCGAGCCCCCCAGAGAACCTCTCGAGGCAGCAGTGATTGGGCCGCCTCTAAGGTGTGCCAGAAGATTCTCTGCTGCAGACCTTAGGTTTGGGGGTGAACTCGGTTCATTTCTTGAAGAGCCAGGTGTTCCAGGTGCTCCAGGTGTATGGAGGGGCAGGGCAGCGGGCCTGATAAAAGGGTGGGGGAAGAGGAATGTGGTGATTTCGACCTCTGACATCTTTAGGGGAAGGGGTCAAAAGCTTGAAGGGGAAGCTTTAGGGAGCTCATGTCATTGGTCCCCTGGGTGGGGGAAGACAAGCCTGGGTGGCAGAGGGTTGCTCCTCTGGGTGAGCAGGTTATTTCTGGGCACCCAGAGGCACATCTGCTGCCTGCTTCGATCGGAGGCTGGCTGCTGCTCCCCAGGGGTGCCCCAGAGGGTGCAGGGGCAAGAGGCACCTGGCACAGTCCTTCCGGAAGATGGCATCCCCTCTGTGCTGTGGGGGCTGCTGCCAGCCCTTCTACAGGCTGACCGGGGCAGCTGGGAAAGAAGGTTTATGATACCTAACATTGGGAATGCCTGCTTTTGGGAGAGACCCAAACTCTGGAGCCTTGGTTCTTGTCAACAAGTCCAACAAGGGCTCTTGGAAGTGGGAGATGTGCAGGAGTCACCCTCTTTCCCTGGACTCGTCTCAGCCCCGTTCTGGGTGTCTCCATCCCTTGCAGGGGGAGAGTCTGAGGATTCCAGTGAATCTAGATGTTTCCATGTACTTTCCAAAGAGCACCTCTCCAGGTCCCAGTCCAGAGGAACAGGTGTGCCCGTATCCTTCAGTGGGGGCTCACTTCCCTCCCTGCTTTCTGTTCCTTTCTCCCCTCCCCCTAGTTGACTGTGGGCTCTTAATTTTGTGTCAGATATCCTTCTTGCTCCCTGCACCCGCCCAGGGGAATCCCTGCCCTGCTAACTCCCATCAGTACCTTCTGTGTGGCTCGGGGTCCCTGCACCAACTGTCTTTGCCTGTGGCTGGAAAAGGTGCCGAAATCACCCAAAGATGCCCCAAAGGAGCTTCCATTCACGGATTCACATAGAGTAGAAATCATTTTTGTTTGTTTCTCTTATCATTACATTTTAGATGGAATTGAGGAATGGGGCAGGCATTTAACTCGGCTAGAGGTGGGAGGCTGAGCCGGGGGTGGAGGAGGAGGGGCCCCTTTGCAACGGCTTCTCATGGCAGCTGGGTCAGATGGAGAGCAGCTGTGGCCTGAGCCACGTGGAGAAGTTTCCTGTGATTTTGTGCCCCTTCAAAGGTTTATAGTCTCCATGTACCACAAGCGTGGCATTATTCTCATTTCACATTCATCTTTGAATTTTTTAAAAACTGGGGTTTTCTTCATGTCCTGTCTTTCTTAAAAATGGTGATATTTTTTATCCTTGGAGCTGTGTTTTCCGGCCCTGACTTGCTGTGAAACTCACTTTGGGCACTCGTTCAGTCCTAATGCAGCTTCTTCCCCTGAGACTCTGATTCCGTGTTTCCGGGAAGAGTGCTGGAAGTCCGTATTCTAGACACACATTTTCAGCTTCTATAGGGAATAACACCATACATAATACAAAAGTGTCCAAAGCGTAACAGAAAGAGAAAAGCTTCTCTGTTCAAATGTGCTGCTTTTTTGTTTCTGGAGTAATTTGATGTGTGAAACTAATATTTTAAGCAGCATAGGTTTTTTAAAACGATAATTTAATTCATTGTAACATTAAAAACATCTAAAAATGTTTAAAAAATCTCAAATATCTTCGTTCATCAACATTTTACATGCTTCGTGGGGTCCTCTGAAGTCAGCCATGGATCAGGCATAATTTAATGCTGTTAACCTCTCTGGAGGTCTTCATCTGGACCGTTATCTTTCTCGGAATAACCACACAGCCTCGGTCCCCTGTGACCAGAGAATAAAAGGTTTCTTCCTGTAGAACCGGCTGCTCAGTGGACAAAGGACAGAGCTCACCCAGTGCGGTGGCTCGTCCAGCGGACACTTGCACTGAGCCAGGCCTCAACCGAGGCTGACGGAGCTCAGCTTCTCTGCTGCCACTGGAGTTGTTTTGCTGAAGCTACCGGGGCCTTGGGAATACTGCCCTGAGGTTATGTACAATGCTTGTCAGTTTTTGAACGTCATTGCAAAAGAAAATGTCTCACCTTTCCCATGACTCATCCTTTTTTTTTTGCACTTGGGGGAGAGATATTGGGAAGTAATTTTTGAACTCGTGAAGCTGAAAACTAAGGGTGCCCTGTAGAGAGCTGGTGAGACCCATGGGTGTGCTAGTGTGTGGACTTGGAAACAGAAGTGATGGCTGGCAGTGTGCCCCTTGCCCCCTGCTCATTAACTGCGCTGTGGTTTGAAGTTAAGGGGTCAAGAAGCCACAGCCCTTCTCCCAATTTGTCTTGTTTGGCTTTCCATCACCATTCCTGTGAGCGAATTTCCCTCAGTTTATTCTTATACTCGTTTGTATATTCATTCATTCCAACAAGTATTTGACAGTCTACCACATGCCAGCGGGTCGGCTCTAAGGGAGAGGGAGAGAAATAACGCGATCTCTTACTGAGGTACTAACTCCTTGTCTGCTGGATGAAACCCTTTCTCTTAACGCTGTCACACGTTTCTTGTCATGTTTTTTTCTTTTTAAATAAGCTTTTCTCATAGAGGTAATACATGCTGATTGTAATTAAAAATTAAAACATTGCAGAAATAGGGAATACCTAACTTTAATGAAGCACTTAGTGTGCAGGATATTGTTTAAGGTGCTTTACATATATTATCTCATTTAAATCACAACAACCCAAGGAGAGAGATACTGTTCTTATCCCTGACTTACCGGGAGGCTGAGTCCCCTGCCCAGAGTTAGCAGAGCCGGGCTGCAGAGGAGCCTGGACTGAACCTGGCAGCCTGATTCTAGCCTCTCACTGTGCACATCAGCCTGTCAGGAGTGGAGCGGGTCTGGGCGTGAGCCTCCACCATAGCACATTGTGAGTCTTCCCTGCCTTGTGTGCGGGAGCGATCAGTGAGGAGACAGTGCAATGGAATGGGGAGCCAGGTGGACACACCTCACTGTAGGGGTCACATCAGGGCTTATCTTCTGCTAATAATGAGCTTCTGATCCGATTAAAATAATATTGTTGCTTACACCAAACATGACATTTTCTTTCTTTTGGTCACACGAAACTAGCCCTGACATTTAACTCCAGGATAATTACCTGTAGCCTGCCCAAAGAACCAGAAGTGCTGCTTTGGCATTTATCTTACTCCAGAGTGACCTGAGTTTGTGACTCTAATGAGACCCTGAGGGCCAGCCGCATTCTGCGCCCCCATGCTCGGTGGGGTTTGGTGGTCTCCGCAGCAGAACCGGGGTGTCAGGGAGCATCTCATCTGCTCAGTTGATCTTAACAGCTCAGCTATAATGAGTTTCAAGGGCAAGTGGGGCTTATTGATGGAATGGCTGGTGGCTGGCTCAGTTGGAGGGGTTGGTGACAAGAGAGGTGGTATGGCTTAGCAGATCAGTCATTAATCTGTCACCACAGAAACTCAACTTGTAATAGAGAAGAGCAGAAAATCATTTTGATTAAACAGGTTCAAGGAGACTTAAATGAGTTTGTGATCCCGACTGTCTTTAATGAACCCACTCTCTTAAACGCCCTCTATGAGATGGCCACTGATAGGAATAATTATTTTGCAGGAATCACAGTAAAGGGACACTTGGAACGTTGATAGGCCCAATGGTCTTTGTGTTCTCCGTCCTCACCTTCCGCTTGCCCTTGCCAGAGAAAACCTCGTTCTCTCCTGGTGAGGATGGCAGAGCTTCTTGTCCCAGTCTGCCTTCCCGGGCCCAGTTCCTGGGTTGCCCTGGTCCTCCCAAACCCTGCGCCACAGTGCGTCAGCTGCACTGGATTGTGGGAGGATAGATGCTCTCCTGTGTGCCGATGAGCTTATTTTCAAAAGCAAGAAGTAGTCCCAAATGGATCATGGCGCCTTCGAGACTCTCCTGCAGAGGTGGGACCTGATTGTTAGCCCGCTAGTTAATCTCGCTTGGGGAGACAAAGTCATGTTAGTAATTGAATATGTAATGATAAGTCATTTCTTATTCATTTCAGTATAGTATATTTCAAACCAAACACACTCAAAACTCTAGAGGCTGAGCCATGTCTCGCGAAGGGCCCATTCCTGACCTGAACTCACATTCCAGTCTTGCTGAGTATGAGCTTGGGTCTCGGCGGGAACTGGCCCGGCCCTCCCTGTGCTGTGGCGTTTTCAGGAGCAATGGCTGAGCACAAAGGAGATGCTCATGATCTTTCTGCAGATGGTGTGCCTGCCACTCTGATTTGCTTTCTGAGAGTTGCTTCTCTTCTGCCCTGTGAGCAGGAGTGAGTAGCTCTGTCTCACATCTCAGAAAAATGTCGGGACGTCTCTTCCATTGTCTGTGAGCCTGTTCTCACGCCATTCCTTGCCTTGCCGGTTGGAAGGCTGCGCGAGGGTCCCCATGGTCCAGTCTCCCTTGCTTTCTAGAGGCTGCTCCTGGCACAGAAGCCCTTCTTGCCTGCTTCCTGTGACCACTGTCCTCTGCCGAAACTGGCCGCACTCCTCCCGATGGATCCGAGAGGAGGTTGGTGCCCAGCTGTGCGGAACCCTAGTTGTGCGAGG